GTGTTTACCGACCTGGTTAGAGCTCCAGACATTCACTTTTCGTCCTCTCAGTTCCGTAAACAAACCCCCTTGAGAGAAGGGAGTAAGTAGGACTTCCCTGTCAGTGGTTATATACGCATGGCCATGTTCGAGCATTGCTAGAGGGAGATCTAACTCGCCCCACTCTCGGCCGTACCAGAGCACTTGGGGGCTATCACCATAATTCGCAGTCCTTGGTATTTTTGCGTCTGACATAAAGGTACCATGTGTGCTGGAGGAGTGTTGAGAGCAGCAAGTAGAAAAGATGAGCTAACGACTCAGTAAGCACATAGAATGCACTTACATTTATTAACGGAAGCAATTGATAACAATCTGAAATAACACGAGCGTAAAATTAACACAATCTGATAATCGAGACAAGAGGTTGATAGTGTAAGGTTTTGGACGCATATACATCACCGCACTTTAAACCTTGAGCATAATAACTGAGCTATTGTCTTAATTCCGGTTGGTCAACTTAAGGTCGTCTGTATATTATACTTTTACCAACAAATTTGTACACTTAAATCACCTGAAGTCCCGGGTCTAAAGTAAATGTTCACAGTTGTTTGTTTTGATTTTCTCCGTTGACAAGTTGTTTGGCGCTTGTCTTGTCAAAAACCATTGCTCAAACCTAGGTACATAGCTTGAATCAGACTAATAAAAAGGTAGGTTTCAAAACTAATAAAGAGCAACCACAAACAAACTCCCTCTAAAATAAGACTAATTATAAGCTAATAGAAGCATCCTTTGATGTAGATTACTAAACATATTACCTAATTTTTTTCCGACTACGTTCGTATTTAAATTATCTAAGGCAATCCTGAAAGGGACTGGAGGACGTGTCAGAAATAGATCAAATGTATAAAACTTGGAAAATAACCAACTATATGTTTATGAGCCTCCGTAGAATACCAAACAGTTCAAAAATGAGCTTACTTTATTCTCATTCTTCTTAATACATCTGTTAAAATATATTGTACTGCTAACATACAAAAATTCCTACTTTACTTACTTACTTACTTACGCCTGTTACTCCCAATGGAGCATAGGCCGCCGACCAGCATTCTCCAACCCACTCTGTCCTGGGCCTTCTTTTCTAGTTCCATCCAATTCTTGTTCATTTTTCTCATATCTATCTCCATTTGTCGGCGTAATGTATTCTTTGGTCTTCCTCTCTTCCTTCGACCTTGAGGATTCCATATGAGGGCTTGTCTTGTGACGCAGTTGGGTGTTTTCCTCAATGTGTGTCCTATCCACTTCCAGCGCTTCTTCCTGATTTCTTCCTCCACTGGGATCTGATTTGTTCTCTCCCACAGTAGGTTGTTGCTTATAGTGTCCGGCCAGCGGATCTGAAATATTTTGCGTAGACAACTGTTAATAAACACCTGTATCTTTTGGACGATGGATTTCGTAGTTTTCCAGGTTTCCGCCCCATACAGTAGAAGTGACTGTCTTGACATTTGTATTGAAAATTCTGACTTTGGTGTTGGTTGCTAATTGTTTTGAGTTCCAGATATTCTTCAGTTGTAAATATGCTGCCCTTGCTTTGCCAATCCGTGTCTTCACATCTGCATCAGATCCACCGTGTTCATCGATGATACTGCCCAAATATGTAAAGGTTTTTACATCTTCCAAAGCTTCTCCGTCAATTGTGATTGGATTGGTGCATGCTGTGTTGTATCGAAGAATCTTGCTTTTCCCTTTGTGTATATTGAGACCTATTGCTGCTGAGGCTGCAGCTACACTGGTTGTCTTCTCCTGCATTTGTTGTTGCGTATGCGATAGAAGAGCCAGATCATCTGCGAAGTCTAGATCATCCAGTTGCATCCTAGCTATCCACTGTATCCCGTGCTTCCCTTCAGATGTTGATGTCTTCATGATCCAGTTGATCACCAGGAGAAAGAGAAAGGGTGAGAGTAAGCAACCTTACCTGACACCGGTCTTTACTTCGAACGACTTTGTCAACTGTCCTCCATGAACGATTTTGTAGTTTAATCCATCATAGGAATTCTGTATGATATTGACTATCTTCTGAGGCACGCCGTAGTGTCGAAGAAGCTTCCATAAGGTTGTTCTGTCCATGCTATCAAATGCTTTTTCGTAGTCGATGAAGTTGATATAGAGTGATGAATTCCATTCAATTGATTGTTCCACAATGATCCGTAGAGTTGCGATTTGGTCTGTGCACGATCTATCCTTACGGAATCCTGCCTGTTGGTCTCGAAGTTGGGCGTCTACGGAGTCCTTCATCCTGTTTAACAATACCCTGTTGAAGACTTTTCCTGGTATTGAAAGAACAGTGATTCCCCTGTAGTTGTCACAGTTGCTGAGATCGCCTTTCTTTGGTATTTTGACTAGAAGTCCTTCTTTCCAGTCTTTTGGTACCTGTTCTTCATCCCAGATCTTTCTGAAGAGAGTTTGGAGTATCCTTGCAGTTGCCGCTACGTCTGCTTTGAGTGCCTCTGCTGGAATGCTGTCTAGTCCTTCTGTTTTGCCACTCTTGATTTGTCTGATAGCCATGCTGATTTCTTCAATTGTCGGTGCGCCAACATCAATTGGGAGGTCCGTGAGTGCTGCTTCGATGTTGGGTGGGTTCAGTGGGGCTGGTCGATTCAAGTGTTCTACCCACCTGTTTCGTTGTTCTTCAATGTTGTTCATGTCCGGAGTATAACAGCAGCTCCCCTGAAGTTAGTCGTTGTTGTCCAACTTGCGTACAATGTGTTTCACTGATCCCAAGCACCTCTAAATTGTATCTCCTCATTTCTGCAGCAATTTGGAAAACTCTCCCAGTCTCCCACATTGTGCGAGCATTCCATGTACTTAAGTAAATGGTTGCTCTGGTTGTCAGAAGGGGCATCGCCTCCGTGACTTCCGAAGAAACTCGGCTTTCATCATGAGGCGTCATAATTCTTCTAAACGAAGACCTTCTGACTCCCAGGGCAGAGTTTAAATGGTTTGAATAATTTTTTCTGGTTAGCGTTTTTTTAGCGAGTTAGTTTTCTACGGGATGGGGTCGCTAACCCCTTGCTAATTCATGTTTACCCTTGGCTTAGTTAGTTGATCAAGTATTTGGTTGACCAACGTCGTTAGGCTTGTGATATGCTCATCCTCCTCAGACCTAATTTGAGTTTCCTAACATACACTAACCAATACTCCGTTGATTTACTTGAATATTTATGGGGAGCTTAGTGTATGTTGATCGTTTTAAGCTATATCATGCAAACCATAGGATGAAATAACAAAAAAAACTAAACATCCAAAAAATAAATTGTTCCAACTGCAAGAAACAGTACACCAGATAAAATGGGCTCCCGCTTCATCTTCATCTGCATAAAAACTATCTGGCCGTCAAACGCCGTGATGTACCTTCACTCATATCAATGCATGTAGATAATTATGGATTCACATTCGACTGGAATAATGTTGAAGTTTTTGATAAAAGGAGTACGAAGACCATAGAATTTTTAGAAGTTTGGCACTTAGGTCAACCAACAATCAGTAATTAACTTGAAGTCAACCCAACATATTAACCAACTTAAAAAATACTATGGATAAATGTATTACCAATAATTCAGTCAAAGGGGGGGGGATAATCAAAATATATATGCAGACAACGAAAGGATAATGGTTAACAATGACCAACCAAGACCAAGTTCTACAGGACAATCTATCAATCATATGTGAAGTTTGAATACAGCACTTCTACCCAAAGTTTGTGCTAATGGTGTTGTTTAGAAGACCAATGAAAACTTTACAATCAAATCATCCAGCTCAGACAACAAAACTCCACTAAAAATGCTCACTGATACTGATGACAAATTCACTGAATCTCATTTAGTAAACAAACAGATCGTAATGTTTCAATTTAACCGTTTATTTTACTACCGTAGCAACCGTCATTGATTAACTAAAGAAAAAGCAACTAAATAAGGTAATATCCAAGTAATCGCAGTACTCCCACACGTCGAAATGTGATATGAAATCAACGTAAATACAATAATAATTAAATTATTGCACATAACACAACTAGAAAATCTGTAATATAATGACATAGTTTCGTTTGAAGGGGCTGGTAAAGGGCAGTCTGATTTGAAGTGAAGTGGTAGCAGTCTCTTAGTACTGCGATTTTTATTTTATTTTATTTTATAAATAAAAATCGCAGTACTAAGAGACTGCTACCACTTCACTTCAAATCAGACTGCCCTTTACCAGCCCCTTCAAACGAAACTATGTCATTATATTACAGATTTTCTAGTTGTGTTATGTGCAATAATTTAATTATTATTGTATTTACGTTGATTTCATATCACATTTCGACGTGTGGGAGTTTAAAGGTGATGTATTATGTGTTAGATCTGATACTGAATATGGAGGGGACGATAAAGACTGAATGGATTTGGGCCATTGCAATCTCTTGTGAATAATATCACATGACTCTCTGATCACTGATCGTGGTTATCGTATTGACCCCAACTAGGTATTCTCCATCTACTGGCGTGGCTCAGACCAAGAGTCAGTAACTTCATGGAGTGATGTCACGTTTTAGTTTGACCGCCCCGAAATTTCTTGCAACCTGCTCCTACACGAACTAACATCGTCGGTTGAAACAAGCGGTATGTGGGGATGGGTAACACATGTACTAACCACTTTAGGCGATCAAGATTCACAACTACATTGACCGATATGGCACCTTTGTCTAATACCTTCGGTGTAACCTCAGTATTACTCACTCGGTCGTTTTGGATTTTGATAACATTCAGATTTAACATTGATTTATGAGATTAAAGAAGTTACTTTGTACTGTACTGGTTACTCTACTTTTAACAACGACTAAATACTTTTCTGTTATTTAAAACTCATTGACTTTCCTCTGTATTATTTAGTATTCAGTCCAAAGTAACGAATGTTAGTTATCAACATAGAACTGTAAATCTTAGATACTGCTCAATCTATTGAATTCGGACTGAAACTACACAAAAATGCATCCTTGTCATAATTCCTCGTCTATGTTATCTCCACCTACTGTCACTACTTTTCATTCATCCCAGTCATTAAGTTCATCTCAATCAGCATATCATCAGTCCTCAACACATGATGTGTCCAAGCCAAATTCAAATGAGCACTACAACTTGGCTCATAGTCGACATCATCTTTATCAAAATGTGATTCTTCCTAGCCCATCTATACAACGTTTTCCTAATTCATCAAGCAATCACTTTACTCACTTTTCGCAATCCCATATCCGAACAACTACTTCATATCCGTCTTATGACTGTTATCGGAACAATTCTACACATTTTCAACCGAATAGTAGTAGCGGTTTGCCTATTATGGGCTATCCAATTGAACTCAATTCTACAAAAAATGTAAGTTGTGTTCTTCAGCTTCTTAAATAAACTATAGCTCGTATCTTTTAAGGACCGCATTTTTTAACCACGTCTATTCAATTTGTGAACTAACCTTGACCAATCCTATACAATGGGTTACTCTTTCTAGCTTGTATATGTAATGAGGACATGCAAAATGAGGTGTAATACTGAGATTATTTTTACAGCTAACCGTTATCAACCAAAATATCACTAAAAACCAGAGTGCATTAAGTATTTTTCAACCTAGCTTAAAATGCACAACTTTGTGAAATTTCATAATCTTGAAAATTGTCATCATTTTCGGTTACTGTTAATCGTGTTATCAATTAACTAATGCCAGTCAGTATAAAGTAGTAGACTGTACTACTGTTTACTCAATTACCGCATTCTATCAAATTGCAATCTAAATAACCGTTATTTATTTATTTATTTGAACACATAAATATTGGTACAAGAGGGCAACAAATATATATGTGCCACACAAAACAATAAGAATTCAAAGAGAAGGGAAAAAAGAAAGGAGGGTAAGGAGCGTAAAAAAAGAACAATAACGAACAAATGAGTGTAAGGTAGTGTAATACTAATAATAATGATGGGGGAAATGAAAAGGTACAATTAGAAGAAATCTTTCAGTTAAGGAAGAAGCAACCACTTTTTATGAAGAAAGTAAAAAAAGGTTACAACAGGATCGCCACTGGCTTCTATTCTGAGCCATATCTGGTAACGTCTCTAGCCACTGTGTTGCACCATCTCTAGGACTCCAGCCAGGGAGTCGTGAAGGACCAACAGAAGCCAACCGTTTTCAGCTTTCTTTCATACTACGGCACCATTTCATATACTGACCACCTCTCCGCTTCTCCGATAAGTACTAACTAGCACAAAACTTAAGTCAAGGATATTGTGTTAACTCCTAATCAATCAATAGACATGTAATGAAGATTCATCTATTTATAAATAGGCACCTAATATTATCAGTTTGTGTGTAGGTGGATTCATGTCACTTTAGTATACCTTTGTTCAATAATTGTTTTCTTCATGTTTGTCATGGTTATTTACTTCTATTGCTTCGCTGTCAGCATCATTTATTATTTTCTATTATTTTTACCAAATAAATAAATGTCAAATCAGTTCTTTTGGTGTTTGAAATTTGCTTTAGTTAAGAACTTTCTAAACTATATAGAGTGAGATTAATAATTGTACCGATGATTCACTATGATATTTTTCTTATATGTTAACCAAGTTCCAATTTTCGTCAATGTTTAAAAAATGTCAAACGAATTTTGATGTTTTGTTGCAATAGATATTGATAATGTTCATTATAATAGTCTAGTGATTGGCTAGTTAGTTTGAATGTTGAACATGGATTCATCTGTCCATTCAGTGTATTAAACGAAGTAGATTTTTTTCATGTATGTTTGCATTAACATTAGAAAAAAAACAATTTCAGGAAAAGTCATTGACAATGTTGATAAAACTTTATAATTAAGAAGGACAAGTGTTGTCTACAATCTGGTAAGCCAGATTGACTGAGCTCTTAGCTAGGATCTGGGAATCTATCTGGACTGATTGGTGTTGACCACTGATCTTTCCAGTTTATAAGAAATAACAGAAATCTCCTTGTGATAACTACTTATGAACCAAACTAACGTGGCGTCTATAATATTAACCGTAGCTTATGACGAGCGAATCCCTGAAAATCAGGCTGTATGGTCAAACCGAATATTTGTCCTTCATCAGGTTCTAAGACATGTTTATTGACTCTCAACCGCAGTTGTATTTCTCGACCTTAAGGTAACACTCGACTCTTTAGATCGAAGAGTTTCATGGTAATGTCTCTCACTGGACGACCTACCAAAGAGAAACATCAACCTTTTTCAGGTTTTCTACTTAAAGACTACTGGTTAAGTTAGATCTCATAGAGAATTGTCATCGGAATTATCAATAACAAGTAGTGTTCAGTTTTCCTCACTGTTCCTCTTTTTATTTAACTCTGTCATAGATATCCTTCTAGAGGTAACTCTCACCGTCTGCCTTTTCAGCAAATAATCTCATACCAGGAGATTCCCTTATTGACTTACAGTACTGAAATGGTAGTCCTATTCGGTGATGCTGACAAAATACAGTGTTTTCTGGTCACCTTGAGCAACAATGCAAAAACATTTGGAGTGCGATTCCTTCCTAAATGTATAATGTCGCTTCAGGACTAGTCTGCGTCGACACCTGAACTGATGACAGGGAATGCCTCAACCACTTTACATACCTTTAAAGTCTTACTAGTCTTGATTAGTTGGTATCTGATGATATCTCGTTTTTACTACTGCTGATGCTGTTACTACCTCCACTACATTGGGATTCGACTAAAAAGCTTTGTGCTAATGCAGATTGGAAACTTAAACCGATGCGCATATATGCCAGGCCCTATGTTGCATATAAGTGGCTGACAACGCTGCAGGAGATGGTTACCGATACCTGACGTATTACCGTCGAGTCTATATCGGCCACCCGAGCCACTCTTCTGTTCCTAGATGCTCAACCTGCATATTGAATATCCGGCCAGGTTTACATTCTCTTACACTCCTGAAAATACCATTTAATTGTTGGTAGAACTCATCCATGATCCCAGCCGAACTAAAATTTGTGAACTCATTAGCAGAGATCACAAGAAAAAATCATTTCTCATGCGTTTCTTTCTTTAATGGAGCTTTCTAATCTAACAAGTGGACGACTGTGAGTTGAGATCCGATCGATCAGTGCTACATTTGATTTGGCGTCTAGTGCGATAGTAACGTCAGTCAAACCCAACAAAGATGGTACAGAGTCGTTGAATAAGTCCACGTAAAACAGAATTTTCGAATCAATAAATGGACAACAAATCTTTATTTCTTCAGCCCAGGGTTTCTTACCCACTACCTCAAAATGCCTGACATTAAATCATATTCTGTTTGATGTCCAGCCACTTAGACTAGCTGTCACATTATAACTTGATCGATAGAACTTGATTATCACTGAAGGACTAGACAGATATGACATTGATCGCTACTCAGTGATCAACTTCAAATCGTTCACCGTTTCAAATAGCACATTTGTAAATGGAGAATAAACCTGTAAAAAATAACCGGAATGTATTAAACTTTTAAGGCAAAGTAAAGTGAAATTGTGTTCACTATTATTGATTTTGTCATTTAAATTCTCCAGTCAATAATCTGGGAACTCCAAACGGTGAAATACAGCTAATCTAACCAATGAGACCATTGATCGAGGTTCTAGTTGCTACAATCGTCTTACCTGTTCATCTCGAAGCATTTTAAGTACTGTGACACCAAGCACGTTATGAATACATATGAGTCCAAAAGTAGTGTTTGTCACTTAACACGTTGAAAACGGATCCCTGGGATCCCGAGTTTTGTTAAATTCCGTTATATATCGCCTTGTTTTTTTCCTCGCTTTTCTCAGGGTAATAATATTTCTTAGTTATAGCTTTCAATTTTCTGTAGAACGACTTTTATGAAAATAATCTTTCATTCATTGACTTGAGCTAGATAGCTGCTGAAGGTCAGAAAGTTCTTTAAAAAGTAAATTTTAGTGAAAAACCTTGAATGGTAGATGTTATCTATATCGGGAGTAGGACAATGGTCACCTATGTCAATGGATGATAATGGCACAATGTCTTATGAGTTGTCTATCATTGAATGGTTTACCAAATGTGATATAAAGTGAATATCCTTGCCATTAGGAACGGAGCTTCTGGATTTGATATCTGATGGGTTCTTAAGTGTGTTGAACTGCTCAAGTGTCTTATACTAAAACGGAACAACTCTCTATGGTTATCTACCAGTTTCTAATGGCTTTTGTCTAACTGAACAATTTTCATATCGAAAAATTTCCAAACATCTCATTCTATCCGTTTATTGCATAAGACTAACTAGTTCTTCCACTTCCTTCCTGCCTTTTTATATTTTAAAGTTAACTACTTACTTACGCCGATTACCCCTTGTGAAGGAGCATAAACCGCCCACCAGCACTCTCCATCCGACCCTGTCCTAGATAATCCTTTCTATCTGTTTCCGATTCCCGACATAGTGTGTTCTTCGGTCTTTCACTTTTCTGTTTCCTTTCATAATTCCAAGTCAGTGCATATTTCGTGATAAAGTTTGATGATTTCTTTAATGTCTTTGTATGTCTTATCCATTAACTCCATCATCTTTTCCTAATTTCCTCTTCATTTAGAAACTGGTTTATTCTTTCCCACAGTAAGCTGTTATTGTCAAATAAACTAAATATAAAATATCAGTCTAATTTTATCTTTATTTTCTCCCTCTTTCACTTCATGCCTTAAGACAATGTTTTATTCATTGAAAGGGGGGGGGAGATACTGATTTTTTTTAAAAAAAAATGCTTGAATTGGCAAATAATCAATGTCTGTCATCCAAAAATACACTATCATTTTTGTATGTATACTTAACTTATATATGCTTTTGTGTGTACTGATTTGTTACTGTTACTGTCATCCAAATAATAAAGATTAGGGGAAACTGTGAATGAATGGATATATATATATATATATATGTATATTCGTATTTTAAAGAAAAATAATAATAAAACAATCCAGTTATTTCCTGTCTTTGTCTCTTATTTCGTGATTAATCAATCAATTAGAACAAAGTATTGGCATTAGTCTATTTTCATTGTATATGCGAGAGATATATATATGGATAAAGTCATATTATATTATGTCTATTTCTATTATGTTCTCAGTAAGTAGTAATATATCTAATAGTTAGTTTCTTTATTTATCTCTTATTATTTAACATTATGGATTATGTAATAAGTTTAATAGTAACATTTTAAAGAAAACTGAAAAGTTTCATTTTGTATGATACTTTTGATTGATTTCTTACAAAGATGTAAATGTATGATTCAAATTAACAGTTGAACATTTTACTTTCATAAATTTGTAAGCAGTTTATAAGAAAATTATATTCTTATAAGGAAAGAAG